CGCAAATGACTCGGCATGGGCACGGGAGGGCCTATGCCTCGATAGAACCCGGATGGATGGATGTTCGGGAAGTCCCGATGAGATGAACGACACGTGGGCCCATTCTCGATGGCATGACCGAACGAGTTATGATGAGCGACGACATCCCGAGACTCGGGATGGCGTCAAGACATATGAACCCTGTCGATGGGGATCGAGGTGGCAAGATGAGATGCGACGTTGTATTGAGAGACCTTGACCCGAGCAGAGGCAAGGTCGAGCCGAATGGGTTGGCCTAGCGTAGAGGCAAGTCGGATGTGTCGCAGATGATTGAACATACACGCACAGGCGGCGTGTGTGGTTGAACAAGCTTGGATTCCGCACAAGCGATGTTCGATTGGCGAAGGCAAACCTCGCCTAAGGTCCGACGAAGCCACAAAGCCGGGGCGAAAAATATAATGGGGCTTAATTCCCCTTAAGGCTGGTCGTGAGCATGTATAGATCACGACGCCGCACAGTCAAGAATGTAGGACCGTGACAGTTGGCCGGATGGGCGTCTCTTGAGGGACGCCCCTTTGCTTGTCATGGCGTGAGGGTCACAACCTACTCTCTTCATAGTAAGGTTGTGACATTACTATACTAACAACTATACTAACAACTTCCAGATTTAGGAGTCGTGTTCCTCTAACAGATACCAGTGCTTTGGATCTCACGATTTTGGTTGACGACAATCATGATCTTGACGACCGCGACTCTCAAGCTTCCATTGATATTGGAAGGGCTTTGGCTATCAATCATCCACCCAAAACCGATCATGTTTCTATTCATATTAGCGATGATGCTTTGGCTGGCGACGACTCTTAAGTCTTCACTGAAATTGTAAGCACTTTAGAATAAATCGGTTCAAAGTAATTAGAAAACCCAACAAAATTATGCATATTTGTTGGGGAATTATAAAACTTTCTTATTGAAGTAGTTATACAGAATTGGTACAAATTTTATGTAAAAATTTTAGGTAAGAACACACTAAAGAATTGATGCTTTATCTAGCTAAAGTCTACGATGGCTATCAGTTTGATTTGTAAGCATTTTTGGACTTTTGGATTGTAATTTATGGTTATAAAGTATAGACGATTTCAATGTAGGGTGGCGAAAAATATACTAATTTAGCATTGATCTTTTAGATATTGTGCAAAAGTCGAGTAAGAATGAAGATGGATTATGACATGAATGGGCTTAAGGTTGTTCCAATCACGAATCACACGAAAACCAATGTTCCAAAGAAGTGAGGATGAATCATACGGGCTTTTAATTCATAGGGTTTGCTCCATTTTTGCTTCTCGAGAAGTTGGAAATATTGTTGTATTAGAACAGAATCAAGAAAAGATTACAAGACACTCTTTAGGACACTGTGGACCGTATGTTTGTCTATGATATTCCTAAAATATCTAGATTTCTAAAACTTTGGAACCAACCATTTAGATAATGAGCTCACACAATTACTGAGTCTGACTACATTAGACTAGTGATGATCTTTTGCTAGCTAATCTTTTCCAAAAACAACTGTTCTTATTTTATTTGTGTCCTCTAGTGGAGCACATCCAATATTTATATCTAATAAAACTCTAAATTTTCAAGCTATATATCGAGCAACCGATAACATTTTTAAATTTACGAAGAGTCTAATCATTAACACATAAAACAAACAAGAGGTATGAATTATGTGTAGCCGCCAGAAATGGTTTGGTTGGATCGAGCTGTCTCCAATTGCAAGCAATGTTTGAGTTTGATTACCACCTCACCCATGGTCGGTCGATCATGGGTGTTCTCGGACGAACAAGCCATTGCAATCTTGAGTGCTTCCTCCACCGAGCACACATCATAATTTCCTTCTAACCTTGGATCAACCACGCTTCCAACTTGGGCTTTACCAAACATGGAGCTAACCCATTGAGTCAAGCCCACATATTCTCCATCAACACCAATTGGGCCTGCTTGTTTTCCAGTAACTATTTCCATCAAAACAACTCCAAACCCATACACATCGCTCCCTTTTGTTAACTTACCCGATACACAATACCTATCAAATGGAAAGCCCAGCAAAGGTTAAAGCATTAAAGCATAGTGTTTGAGTGAAAATGGAGTCTTAATCATGGTTGGGGTTCTCTTACTGTGGGTCGATGTATCGGGAAGTGCCTACAACATCAATGGAAACATGAGATTGACCGTGGTGGGATGGAGTTAGGGTGACGGCCAAATCAAACCCACAAAGCTTCACTTCAAAATTGTCGCACAACAAGATGTGTGCGCTCTTAATGTCCCTGTGAATGAGCGGCGGCTGGCAACCGTCGTGCAGGTAATCCAAAGCTTGGGCCAAACCAATGGCTATCCCAAGTCTGCGTTCCCATGACAATTTGGTTGAAGCACTTCCTGTAATAACAACAACAACAGTTTTAAAATCTCCTATAACAACACAGTTTGAAGCTTAGATATATATATATATATATATATATATAGAACCTGTAAGATTGTTCTTCAAGTCTCCATTGGCTATGAACTCATAAACCACTGCCCGTGTTGTGGAATCTTCGTAATACCCAATCAGATTTATCAAATTTTTGTGATGAACTTTGCTGAGATAAATCACCTGCACCCAATAAAATTTAAACATGAATCTAAATTACAAATGGTTGGCGGTAGTTCACGTTGGGTTGGGATGGGATGATAGATTTTTTTTTTTTTTGGTATCCTGGTAGATTAATAACCTAATTCAACTCGAAAATTTTCACAATCCAACTTTGTTTTTGGGTCACGGGTTGATTCAATAATTTAAATTTCGAAATCAACCCAGATCGAATTTCAAAAAACAAACACTATCCAAACTCAAAATTCTTTTAAACCCAACCCAACATTTATCATTTAGGTTGAGTTGGGTTAGGTTGTCGATTTAGCGAGTTGGATGTACACCTCTCTCCATGGGGACCGAGACTGTTTTCTAATAATTTTTACTTTTAAATATTTTTTTTTTATTAAAACGATGTAAGACATGATGTATACTAACACAATTTAGTAGAACTTATCGCTAGTTTGAGTTAGTCAACATATTCGTAATCAGTTAATATTCAGATAATCTGATTAGTAGTATATTTTATTTTATTCTCAAGATTTAGTTAGTTTATATTTTATTTATGTATTAGTGGTAGCTTATATCCTATTTAAACATGGTCAATATTTTCCTCATTCTTAACTCCGTATTGTTTACTTAAGTAATAATATTTTCATATCTATTCACACTTCTAAGTGGTAGATATTATGTCAGTATACTTCAATAATATCTCATAAACTTATCTATAATATAAATTAAAAAGTAAGCAAGGTCAGGTAGAAATTTGGGTGGGTCGAGGGGGGACGGTAAATATAATCCTTTAATTAATGGGTCGTACACTTTATAGCCCTTCTTTTGCTAGAGAGGATTTTATTGTTGACTCGTTAGAAACAACCAACTTTATGATATTGTTTAATTTGAAAATAAATTTTGATACTCACGGTTTTTGGTTTTCTCATTAGACCTACTTACAAACTAATAATTTTTTAGTTAGCTAATACGAGACTATTCTTCCAAACAATTCTGAGCAATATTAAAAAAAAAATATATATATATATATATATATATATATATATATATATTATAGTTAGGTGGGTGGACCTCGTTTTGAGATTGAGTGAGACGAGCTCCTCTATGCACCTTCACGGCAACCGGAACGCCGTTGATTTGGCCTTGGTAAACGCTTCCAAATCCTCCTCTGCCAATGACTCGGTGGAAGTTATGGGTCATCTTCACCACCTCCTCATATGAAAAACGCCGGGGTTTCATCTCCACCGGAACCGACTCATATTTCTGGGCAATTAGTTTCCGGCAGGCTTTGATAACCCAGAAAAGAGCCAGTGCAATTAAAAGAGCCCCCAACAACCCAACCGCCGATGCTAAAACTGGTACTACCACGTCGTCTTTCATCTTTTTCCGGCGAGTAATGCTGATTTGGATATCAAAATGGAAGCAATTTGAAGGCTTTTTTCCCCGTAATTTGGTCGCGACGACCTGGTCACGACCCACTTTGTAGACTTGAAAGTCTTGGCAGAGCACCAATTAATGTCGCTCACTATTTATTTTTCCTATTTAATATCTCATTAATTGATCCTCACTCCACGCTCATAGACTTCCCCGTCCCTAACTCCACTCCCTATTTCATTTTTATCTCCATCAAATTCTTTATTTATTTTTACTCGGATTCGTGCTTTAAGATTCTCTAAAAAAATTTCTATTTTTCGTATGAGACGAGGAGGGGAATATAATCTTGTCGACTTCATGTTCCACACTCTATCTCAGGACGGAGCCCTACAAATAAAATGAACATCTTTCGATAAAGATTCTATATCTATACTAGATTCAACATTTTCTATATCTATATTATCATATCATTAAAAATAGAAGAAATATTACAAAAACTTTGTCTAAAAATTTAAATTCATAAAGTTCATATTAAATTTTGAAATTTATATTTATTAATGTCTAATAAAAATTTAAAATATTTTAAAATTATTTACTTCATTAGATGTGAATTTAGGAATAATAAATTATTGAGAATTAAAAAGGAAATTTGAAACTGAATTTTTAAAGATATTACGTAAGATTTCAAAGTCCTTAGAGTAACCTCCAAACGACTTAAGATTTGAAGTAAGGCCTATCTATAAGGATATTTATGTTTTAGACTGCGGATCGCTTCAAGTGTGAGAAGCCTTGGGTCCAAATTTTAGAGTACACTGCTTGGAACATATGAAACCTTGAACGTAAGTATTCAGACAATGTCACTTGGTACATATGAAACTTTGAGCATAAGTTTTCTGACAACGTCTCTTGGAACATAAGAAGTCTTGGACACAAGTTTTGGACCACACCATTTAGAACAGAAGAAGTTTTGGGTGTAGGTTTTAAATTGTATGGTAGGAAACACAAGAAAACCTCCAAACGACTGTGTTGCTTGGAACGCATGAATCCTTGGACATAGTTTGTCAAGTTCATGTCTTGTACCCTAAATCTTAGGGAGTATTTTCGGAAACAAAAAAACAAGAACCAAAAACCAATAATCAGAACCAGGAACAAGAACTAAGGTCTCCAAGACTATAGTAGACCTTTTATAGCGTTTTTGATATGTCCTAACAGCCAACCTTATTAAAAATAAAAACAAATCAAATCAACTAAAGACAAAAAAAACCATGATTCATAATATTTAAAATCAGATTTTTGGTGTCTCAAAAAACTAAAGGATAAAGGGTTTATAATCCCTAAAATTACAAACACAAATCTTATTATTTGGTCTCTAAATTTAAACCATATATAATTTTATAAGTTGCGTGTCGTGTCGTTCTAACCTAAGGCGGAGGAATTATTAGATTCCTAATGTGACAAATTATTGGATTCAAAATCAAAGAATGCACATAGTTCTAAATTCTAATTGGAGAGAGTTGACTTTGACTTTGGATTTTGTATGTTCTATAAATGAAAAACTTATTATGGCATTGGTGGCCAATGTCATACATTGCGGCTCTCCTACTTGCCCACTTGCCTCTTTCTTTCTTTCATTTTTTTTTCACCTACACTCAAAATCTTATATTTTTTATTTTAAAAAATATACTTTATTGACGAAAATAATAATATTTTATTGAGTTCGAATTTTAAATTTGATTAAGTAGTGAAATTAATAATTTTTTTCTTTATTTTTCTTAAAATTTAATTGTTGAAATTAATATTATTAGGTTTTGTAACATTATTTTTAATTCTTATGGACTTTTTCAAAGCTAAAAAAACTATATATAATTAAATATTCTGACAAACGTTGACTCCAGTATTTATTTATTTTTTAATAAAAAAGTAAATTAAATTAAATTCTAGAAATAATTCTGGGCGACGACCCCGACATCGACAAGCAAAGTGAACGTAGAAAATCGCCGATTTTTTGCGTGTTGGATCCACATTTGGACTATGAGGCGCATTCACCGTACGGATTATTTATTTATTTTTTTAATCCGTTAATATTTAATTTTCATTATTTATTAACAATCACATAATTTTAAATCCCAAATAAACATTCGGTGGCTTTGCATTGTTAAAGCAAACCATGCCCGCCGCCGCTAAGTTCCTCTTAGCTCTTCTCTCCGCGTCAGTGTTCTTGCCTTTGATTTCCGGCCAGAGTCCGTCAGGTAAGTAATATTGTCCACTTCGAACATAAACAACAGTTTTGTAAATGTATTTTTTACTTATAAATTTATGATTAGGTTTTATAAGCTTAGACTGTGGAACTTCGCCGAACACTCGATACATAGAGCCGATTAGTAGCATAAACTACGAGTCGGACGCGGCATTCATAAGCACCGGAACAATCCACAACGTATCGTCGGTGTACGTAGGCAGCACGCGGTATGAACAGCTAAGGAGTTTAAGAAGCTTTCCGGAGGGGGCGAGGAATTGCTACAGAGTGAGAGTGAAATCGGGGACGAAGTATTTGATTCGGGCAAGCTTTCTGTACGGGGACTACGACGGGCAGGGAAAGGTTCCTGAGTTCGATCTCTACTTTGGACCAAACTTTTGGAGTTCTGTGAAATTAGAGGGCATGAACACGTCGGCGCATCATGAGATTATACACGTGGTATCGGGGGATTGGGTGGAGGTTTGTTTGGTTGATACGGGGACTGGAACGCCGTTCATCTCGGCGTTGGAGTTGAGGCCTTTGGTAAACTCCATTTATGAAACGAGATCGGAATCGCTGGCCACTTTTCTCCGCCTTGATGCCGGCTCTGCCGCAAACCTTTCTTACAGGTCCGCCGCATTACAATTTCTTCTTCTAATCTTGCAATTATTTATTTATTTATTATTATTATTAATTTTTTTTTGCCGGATGTGTTCATATGCCTCGTATTAGATCAATTTGCACTACTCACCCCAAACTATAAAAATCGAGTTTGATTAGGTTTACTCGGGATTTTGGTTGAATTAAAATTTTGAAAAAAAAAATTGTATTGATTTGATGGTTGACATTTAATCTGAGCAATTTTGACATTCTAAAAAAATTCAGAGTAAAGTTATATTATTACTATGGTCTATAAAAGGAAAAAATTCTTTCTTTTCAGTTTTATTCATCTGACTACGAATTGAGAAAGTATTGAACTTCATTTTTTTTTTTTTTAACTTCAATTGGTACCCGAGAAATAGGCCAATTCTGCAGCCTTTTGCTCAATTTCTAGTGGTCAGATTCTAATCGATACAATTACAATCCAACCTTTAATTACTATGAAAGTTATAAATATTGGACATTTGTAACCAAATATTAGTAATGTTGATGACTTATGAAGGGTTAATATTTAAAATTTACCAAATTTTAGTCATCAAGTTAAATGTATAAGATTTTTTCAAATAATTAAAAAATAGATAGTTGGATTTTTAACCCTAAAAATAGATAGTTTGGTTAGTTTGAGTAGTAGAATTTATTTAAGTTGCTCGGTTTACTAACTCAACCAAATCTAAAATTTAAGGTTTGTACATAAAAGAAAAAATTCCCCACCCAACCTAGCTCGACCCTATTCGTTTCTCGACATTTTTCAATCATATATAAATAAAATTAAATCATTAAGTGAATAGATGGAAATTTTGATGAAGAATTAGACTAATAAATAAAATTAAATCGATTGAAAATGTTTAATTTGTGAAGGTACAAAGACGATGTTTATGATCGAATATGGTACGCCATGGTTCCACTCGCAGCATGGACTAAGCTAACCACAACCGAGACCATAGACACCAACGACCCCGCCTCCTTCTTACCTCCTCAGCCGGTGATGACCTCCGCCGCGACGCCCAAAAACGCCACCGCTCCGATGGAATTCAACTGGATTCCGCCGGATGATACCACCAGGTTTTACGTCTACATGTATTTCACAGAGATCCAGAAGCTTCAACCCAACGAGTCCAGAGTGTTCAACATATTGCTGAATGGGAACCCCTGGACCGATGGGCAACTTTCCTTACCTTACTTACAAGGACTCGTCTCCTACAGTACCAAACCCATCACAGGCGGAATTTACGATTTCGCCCTCGTTAGAACCCCTAATTCCACTCATCCCCCTCTCCTCAACGCCATTGAGATTTACAGGGTCATCGATTTCCCTCAATCTCCCACCGAACAGCAAGATGGTGAGCCGCCCCCCAACCTTGTTGTTTTTCATGTTGATTTGGTTGTATAAACATGGGTTTTGAAATGTTTCAGTTGAGGGCATTTTGGATATCAAGGCGTTTTATGGTATTGGAAGAAACTGGCAAGGGGATCCTTGTGCCCCAAGAGAGCTTATTTGGCGAGGTCTGAATTGTAGCTTTGTGGATTCCCAGCCTCCCAGAATCACATCCTTGTAAGTTTCTCAACTTCTTCCTGCTCTGTTTACCACTACTAAACTAGCTACATTTGTTTGTAAGAACCTCACGATTATAGAGTCATGTAACGGTCCAAACCTACCGCTAGGGATATTGTCCTCGTTAGACATTCCTTTTCAAGCTTCTCCTAAATGTTTTTAAAATACGGCTAGGGAAAGACATATTTCCACATCCTTATAAAGAATGTTTCGCTCTCTTCCCCAACTGATGAAAGATCTCACAATCCATCCTCCTTCAGGGCCCAGCGTCCTTACTAGCACTTGTTCCCTTTTCCAATCAATTTGAGAACCCTCACCTAATCCACCCCTTCGAGACCCAGCGTCCTTGCTAGCGCACCGTCTCGTGTCCACCCCCCTTCAGAGCTCAGCTTCCTCGCAGGCACTCATTCACTTCTTCAATCAATGTGGGATCCCCCACCCAATCTACCCACTTTGGGACCTGGCGCCCTTGCTAGCACACGCCTCGTGTCTACCCCCTTCGGGACTCGGCCTCCTCGCTAGCCCACGCCCAGTGTCTGACTGTTATACCGTTTGTAACGGCCCAAGCCCACCGCTCGCAGATATTCTCCTTTTGGACTTTCCCTCGACTTTTAAAACACGTTCGCTAG